TACTATACTTATACTATGCTAGATATAACAATGCATAGTATCTACTGTTAGTGTTAGTATATTTTTATCCGACTTAAGCTTACCATGGGAACGGGTATTTGTGGTAAAAATTTGCTTTTCTCATTTAACCCCCAAGACATGAAATACCAATTTCTCGTTAAACCATTTCAATGGCCCTACAAAAACAAAAAAAGGAAATTTGGAGTGTTTTTTACGGTTATTGGTAACGGAGAAAATTTATAATTCCCATGTTATTATTATGGGGAATAAGTAAACTGTTGTTGTTTGCTTGCTTATGGATATATTTTATACTATTTATTTATTTATTTTAAAGGCTACTAAGCTTTTTATATTTTACTAAAAAACACACTTTATTACACTCCAATTAGCAGCAAACCTAGCTACCTGTCAAAGCTAATGTTATTTAAATAGATATAATTAAAAATCCAAACAGGCAAATTGGATATTCGCTTCGTCTGCAGGTTTCCTGCAGCGGGGGTATTTTATTTTACTAGATAAGGTTTAAAATTAAAATAAATTTGTACCGTACCTAAACCAATGTCCAACATAAATGAACTAGGCGCAATTGGTATAGGCCCCTAATAGGTTTTCTGTTATAAAAGGCACAGAAATGTGTATTAGTAATTTCAATTTAAATCTTATTAATTCATCTTATTTTCCATGAATCCAGGAAGATGCCATGCATGTGGGCAAACGTTTTGTATTATGCTAAGATGATTCCTTATCTTTTGTATAAAACTCAAGACACAGATTGTTGATAAGTATAAACCCCTTAAAACCCCAATACCCTCTATCCAATGGTTTCTGTTTCACGAACTTTAGTCATGTACATGTTTGTAAAGTAGTTTGAGTGAACAATATTTTTTTATTTCTAAGGGCCCTAAATGCGAAAGTACTGTGGTTTCGGAACTGTTGGCGTTACCCTAATATAAAGGCTACAGTAATAACTATCATCGTTATGTAGCGAAAATTATTTTTTAGGTACTCTATGAAATTTGTCTCGATCTAACGGCTGCAATCTCATCGAAGTAAAACCAATTTTACGTTTTGTAGAGAAATGGATGCTGAAATTCTGTATGTTATGCCTAATGCTTCAAAACATTAGGACTTTTATAACTTAAATGCTAACCTGCTGCCTACATACAACCCAAAAAAAAACAAACAAAAAAAACACGTAGACTACTGTACCTTGTACGTACATGTACACGTATCTAATTAATAGTATATTTCAGCGCAATGAAAATACAAGGATAGTTTTGACAAGGTTACAACTTACAACCCAAGTTATGGTAAGCGCATAGAGGGCTATCGGCAATTAAATTTGCTGATACTGTAACAATTGCAGATTGAAAACGAGCGATAAATTCAAGGGGGAACAGAGATGACTTTACTTTAACAGCGACATAAACTATGTTGGCATCCCCAGCCCCTCTGATACATTGGCGACATAAAGTAAGCATAAAATCATTTCTCTCACTTTATTGGCCACAAAATAAAGTGATTTAAAGTACTTTAGTCTGTGAGACATCATAAATCGACATTAATTCTCGTGTTTTAAAACTGCGGTCTGTGAGCGCTTGAAAACCACATAAGAACACATAAGAACAACTTAAGTTTGTTTTATAGGCAACTTCAAATGTAAACTTAGCCTGGTCGTATTTAAACAAATTTAAATACTTACTATCGACTTTTGTAGATACACATTCGTTGAAGCCGACACATTTAGAATTACGATAATTGTTTCGTTAAATTATTTAAATAATGATTAAAAATAAATTATTAAGGATTATAAATTTGGGACATTCGTCCTGGAGTGTGAAGACCCGGGCATTGCACATTACTACCAAAGCTACAGTAATGTGATATATATTTATTAATTATTATTTTGTATACCTGAAAGGTTGCTAATATTTTTTTCTTGTGTGTAAAGAAACACGTCACGATCTCCAATTAAGGAGGTGTAGGTAACGTAAAAAGTTCGCTTCCACACCAAGGATTTGTACAATGTCTAACTTAAGTTAATGGTTTAATAACACTTTCTTTTTACAATTATAGTAGGCAATTCTCTGATAGCAAATGAAAGTCAATTTCTGATAACAGCTCAATCTTAAAACTGATATAGGCTAAGTAATTTTAATAGTAGGCCTAATTGATAGTTTTATGAAGAGCAAACCGTAAATGCCTAATAAACGATTTATTATAATAATTTAATGCTGTGGGAAAACGGATTTATGTACGTATTTATGGCAATGTAGGGTCAAATTTGATTTAACTTACTGCTAAATAATACAACTAGAGGCATCTATTTTTTTTTTACAGCAACCGAAGAAAAAATAAAAGGCCATAATATGCAGACAAGATTTTAAATTTGTTACACTCTAATTTTTAGTTATAAACTTATTTTCTCACAATAGTACCGCAGCTTTAGTCGGATCATTTAAGGACGTTAAAACAAGAAAATGAGATAAGATTCTATCAGAAGGGGAAGTCGGTGTTATAGATAAATTCATCTGGGGAGGGGCGGTTGGAAACTCCTACTGTAGGGTGTGTTTATCCCTTCCCCTACCCCTCATCTCATCTTGGTAACAAGTCTTATGATAATGTTCATACTATAATGATATGGTTACAGTCTTCTGTTTTATACTTTAACACATTGAACAGCCACACTTATGGCACAAGCTTAGACCCCCAATAACAATCTCTTTCACGTTTAAAAAATCCAATACGCCTACTAACTTATACCATTCTAGTACCTATTAGGCCTATATGAACACATTAGGCCTACACACAAATATTAGCAGTAAAATGTTGACAATGTTATGTCTTGGGCAATTTTAATAGTAAATACTACCTAACTATCTATTCCAAAAGAAGAACTTTTGCTACGTGTAGGCTTTGCATAGTATGGTAAACTGTCACATGCCTCACAGGAAAATTAGTTTTCGCATTTAGTATCACAATAACTTATTATGCTAGGCTATATTTCACTTAGACCTTGTGGTAACGATATAATTCCAGCAGAGTGTGGTAATTCGAAGACTGTACATAGCTACCTGTACTGTGTTCACACGGTTAACGAGATGATTTACTTCGTCATTTTATTATGGTCAATAAATTAAACAAGTAATCACACTTGTATGATTATGTTTCAATTACCTACTTCGGCTCGTTTGTAAATAGTAATCAGTAAATGGCATTTATATTACATCAGTTAGCTTGTAATTCAAAACAGTGTTTTACTGAAAACAATAAGCCATAACAAGTGATTGGTTAGCTGTAAATAAATCACCATTTGGATTCCCAGACATTACACGTCCCTTTTTGTCAAACGTCAATGTCCCAGGCGTTCCTAGCTTAACGGAAAGTCCTAACAGCCCAACCCTCAGGGTTACCGAGAATCGATGAGAATCTGTCCGTCAGTAAATAGCCGAGCTTTAGCCTCATTGAGCACTCCTACCCTCCCCACAGATATGTGGGACAAACACAGAGAGGAAGAAAAGGGCCGGGACAAGACAGGTAAAAGGCCTTTGTCCTGACCAAGGTGAGCGACCGGGGCTAGGAACAAGTGCAAGGGCTGATGTCCGCCCTTGTTAGAGGCAGGTTGTTAGACCAGGTAGAATCTCGCCCGTCACACCTCCGCTTTGATTTATCACTCGGGCTAGATTACACTGGTTAAACCTCCGTGTTAATCATCGCCATTGCCTCAGCCACACAACTGCTACGATGCACTCTAAATCTCCACTAATCCTACCTTACTGCAACTGCAAGCTAGCCTAGTTCGAGTTAAGGCTGGAATTTACCATAACGATCATCATGTGTGTTTCATTGGGCACACAAGCAATATCTACAAATAATCACCAGCAAGACTAATGCATTGCATATTTTACATTTACTTAAAGTATAATGGCCGAAATAAATCTTGAATCTATGAATATTTATTTCGTAATAAATAGGCGTACATTGAGTTTGCTGTTATACTTAAGTTACTGTACTTTTGTTTCAGCCTAATCCAAACTACATCTAAATTAAGTTAGGTTGATTTGACATGTGTTTAAAAAAATGTTAGGGGTAGCCTAAGTTAAACCTACCTAGGATCTTGAGTGCCTTTTGATTTGCATTGCTATTGCTTTGCTAATGATTTCATAACTTAGGCCTAACTAAATTAGGCAAAACAGCATTTTAAACATTCAAAGGTTTATGGACTAGGTAATTTAATAAAATTTTTAAATGACCTAAATCCCTTTGAAAAATAATGCCAAGTTTGCTAACAATAGGCCCATTAAACTTATTTTAGGTTACTTACTTTGGTTACCTAACAAAAGTTTCTAAGAAAGTAAGTTAGGGTACCATACATAAAAAAGAAAATTATCAATGTGTCATCGACCTGTTTTAAGTTAAATTAAACAATATTGGGTAGGTTTATTAATTAAATTTGTGAACTAGGCCTATAGCATGATTAAACATGAAAAAGTTAATTAAAGTTGAATAACTTGATTATATTTTAATGAGCGTTCTCATACAAAGTACCTCTACAATGTTAACTAACCACATACTCCGTTATGAATCAATATAAAATCCCATTATTAAAAATATAGTAAGAAACTACGAGGGAAGAGCAATCCGAATCCGAAACACAAATCAGCCAGTCACTACATGACATACAGAACCAAACAAAGGCGGCTGGGCTCCTACAGAAGCATGTAGCTTCTCAGCTCATCACATAAATAAACAAAGGGCATCAGCATCAGCTGATTATAAAAACCAGCCCACCAGACTGTGTTACATTTCAGAGAGATCGACTGCTTCTTATCTCCTGGCTAGACACAAACACACATTAGCGATAAGCCTGCCGGTCGTCTATGCCAGTTGTTTTTGGCTCGACTAAACGTGATCCCTAGCCGACTGGTTTAAAAATAGGTCCGCGCTGTTTAACGCTCACTCACATGCAGGCCTAACCATAAAACACACACTGTCCTTACCTCCGATTCTGTGAGATCAATCAGACTCGTTTTCTCTTCCGTTAAATTTTCCGACGATCTTTTTTCATCGTCTCCTTCTTCTTTGAACACTTTCACTTCATCTGTACTTCCTAAATCATCACCACCGCCGCCACTGCTCACATGCGGCATTGTTTGCCACTTCACAACACTTAAATTCACTACTAACCCGTTAAAGTGAGGTTAGAATCGAGCTCCGTCGTCTACCGACACATGCCCGCACGACACGCGGTTCCATTGTAACAAAAACATCACTCAGTCTGTACGTTCGGATCGACTTTAGTTCACTGCGATGACGATTACCCGCGGCGGTCGGTTAAATTACGAAGAAGAAGAAACAGTTTTGTACACAAAGAGTCAACAATCGAACTGACACGACCTCCGCTGGCAGCCATCCTAGTGAATACTGATTCTCAAAAGTCGCCGGCGCGTTTGCCTCGCCGTATCTACACACCGACCAATGAGAGCGCCTCTTTGATCTCTTCCCCCCTCTGAGACGAGGGGTCCACTGCCGGCAATGGCCACCCGAACACCGACGGAGAAGCCCGAACATTTCGCCGCCGCTTTTAGTTTCGTGCGTGACCGCCGCGAGAAAAAGAGGCGCTAGACTCACTGCATTCATCTCCCACGACTCGTTGCTTTGCTAAAGGAGGAGTATCAACAAGGTCGTTAAGGACGCCCCGTTCCGTTCCACCTTACTATCAAATCACTAAAATTTATAAAATTGTCCAACCATTTTTGTAACTTATAACTTGGTATATTAGTACTGCACCATACATTCTTCAATAAAATACATCAATTAAACTACGTTTTTCTTTTAAAAAATCTTAAAAAATAATTAACCTAATTTTGATTTTTATGGAGAATAAATAAACCGTTGTAGTTTGCTTGTTTATGGATATATTTTAACCTACTAAGCACAGTATCAACATTGCAATAAAAAAAAACACACCTCAATATGTTCCATATAGCAGCAAACCTAAGTACTCACAAAAATTAATGTTATTTAAATGGAACACCATGTCGAGTCTTATTTACAACTAGCAGAGTAGAGTACCCGTCCTTCGTCTGGGGTTGATGTATGTTTAAATGGTGCTTTTTGAGATCTGAAATGAAAAACAGTGTAAAATAAGATTCTATTTCAATAAATGTACCTATCAAAAACTTTTAACATACTAATTACATAAAAAAACATTTTCAAACAACAAAACAAATAAAAAACTCAAAGCCTTTACTTACTTTTAAATGATAAAAATCAAACATATACAAACAATAATTTACAACATCTGGTTAATATTACGGTTTGAATGAAAAGAAACATGTAATCTTGCTTCTAAAAAGCATTGCTCACTTAGCATTGATTATAAAAATATCTCATTATATAGATAGGCAGTAGCTACCGCTGGATTAAAAAACATCATTACTAATCGATGGGTAGTAATATGAAATTATGATTTAAAAGTTTGTGAAAAGGCGAATGGTGTGAACAGTATTTCTCTCAAAATGGTAAGAATATACAATTTATTATCTCCTTGAGAAAAAAGTTTCAATTTTTAAGGCGTGTGCCCTACACTAAACACATGTTAATTGTTCAAAAATGTTAAAATGATTCAAGTAAATGTGAACTTTATAATTTCACTATTTCTTACACCAAAATATTTCAATTCAATTATTCACATTAGAGAAATTTTAAATAATTAATTAGGGTTGAATACAGCAACAGATATACAATCTCACTTATTCCATAGAATCAATAATCAATGAACCATCGAATATAAGAATAAATAAACATGTCACAAGATTGTAGAGAATATTATATGCCTATTTATAAACCAGCTGTGGAATTGTGAATTAATGTGGTTTGACAGTTCAGCTTGTTAACATTTGGGTGGCATAGCAAATTGCAAACATTGTATGTGTTCTCGTGGCAGCCATGGAGACCAATCAATATTTACTTTTAAAATCCTCACCTCAGAACTTTTAAAGCCAAAGGGTCCCTTTGGCTTTAAAAGTAAAGGGACAAAGCCCACGGCCAGTATCGAAGTGTGAATAGTCCTATAAAGATCCTTGGTATGGTAGCTATATTTTTGTAAAATTTAAGCCCAGTCAGTTCAGTAGCTTATGCGCCTATTAGTAACAAACATACAGACAGACACCACTTGATTTTTATATAATAGAATAGATATATAATAGTATAGATAAGTCAGCAAATAGTATATCTGGTGACGGGGAGAACTTGAAGAATTTAAGCAATTCGAAATAAAAAGGCAAACAAAGAACCGAAAACCATCGATGTCAAGTGTTTTACATCACTATCAATTGTTATGAGTTATCTTTTTATTAACACGTTTTTATTAGGTCGCTTTCTTGTCCGCTACAAATTTTGCAACCAATTTTATACTAACTTCCCGATGAGCTAGGGACTTGAAACTTGAAACATATCTCACAAATGGAAGACAATGCAATATTATACAATTTAATTTTCATATTTCCCTTGGGCTACGCCCCATGGGCTTGTTTTTATTAAATCGATTTCTTGCAAATTTTGATACTTCCCGATGAGCTAGAGACTTGAAATTTGAAACATAGCTCACAAATGAATGACATTGCAATATTATATCATTTAATTTTCATATTTCCTTTCGGGCTACGCCCCATGGGCTTGTTTTTATTAGCTTGCTTTCCTACAAATTTTGATATCAATTTTAAACGATGTAACCGATAAGCTAGAGACTTGAAATTTGAAACATAGCTCACAAATGCATGACAATGCGATATTATATCATTTAATTTTCATATTTCCCTTAGGCTACGCCCCATGGGCTTCCAAATTTTTCATGTTTACATTTTGAAAGGATGTAAATATATCAACTAATTTAAGTCAGCTGTAAATACTTAAATTTGACAGTTCAAAAAGCAGAGGTTAAGAGGTACAGGTTCTGCTCCCAAGAGATTCTTTATACAAACAAACATTTCAAAATAAAGATAAACAATCTGATTGCAGATATAAAGGAGTTTGTTAATAATGTCATTTGTTATTTATTTAGAATTCTATAAAGTAAACAATAATATAGTTAGTAGGTAGGCCATACATGCAATCTAATACATAATTATATGAAAAGAAACTCAAATAAACCTTAGATTTCCCACATGCCTCTGTCTTAATCTGATATAGACGCTTGAAATAGATTTAACATGCACACACATTAAAACTAAAAAGTATAAAATAATTTATAAATAAAAAACTTTTTTAAACAAAACGTTTTTAAACGCCCTAAAAAGTAGAAAATAATTTACAAATAATTTATAAATATGTTGAAAGAGTATAAATACTTGTACGATTTAAAACGAAAAACGTGGGGTGCATGCAATAGATAGTTTACAATTACCTTCACCTACTGAACTAATGTATTATTATCAATTAATTGCATGCACCCAACGTTTTCCGTTTTAAATCGTACAAGTATTTATACTCTCTCAAAATATTTATAAATTATTTGTAAATTATTTTCTACTTTTTAGGGCGTTTAAAAACGTTTTGTTTAAAAAAGTTTTTTATTTATAAATTATTTATTCCAATGTTAAAAACAAAATACCATTTTTAAATATGTTTTAAATCTAAATATATTATAGATAAATAATTTATTTTTGTAAAAAAAAAAAACAACCTACTTCAAACGCTCTAAATACAATAACAATTTTCAACCATCTTCCCTCTCACCTCAAAGCAGTATCAAACCATCTGAAATTTAAAAAAAACCTAAAATCTTTTCTTTTAAAAGAAGCTTATTACAGCGTCCGAATGTTCCTGGCTGACGGCTAAAAAACTATCAAACTGTTTGATCATAGGTATTCTTAGTGTAAGTTAAAAAAAGACAGTTATTATTTCTTATTGAAATCAAGAAACTGTATGTTTTGTAAATGACATGACCAATGCATGTATATGTTATTTTGGATAAATAAATGACTTATTGACTTATCTAAAAAGAATTAAATAATTTTAATAAAGTAAACTTTTGTAATATTCAAGCTCACGCATTTCATTTTGGCGCGGCTCTATGATGATTTTTGACACAACTTACTGAAAATTTAAAAAGGATGTCCATATTGCAGGCGATTATCTATAACTAAAGATATTAATCTTAGGTTTTTTTTTAATTATGCGTTGGGTGTTATTTTACCATTGTAACTCATCATCGGCAGTACCTTCATAAAGTTTTTTTTATAAATTATTTTTAATTTTATAGTGGTATTAACAAGTACCTTTAAAAAAATGATAATGCATATTTTTTTACATATATATATATATATTTTAAGTACATGTAACATAATTTTAACCATAATGAAACAAAGAGATTTGTATACGAAGCCTTTTTCTAAATACAGTAACTATACTGTATCTTGAATGAAACATGAGATGTATGTCCTTAGCCAAGTGAATTTAATCTCGATGGTAAATGATAATAAGTATTGTAAACAATATTATCATGATGTGCTGTAATTTTATCATAAGGCATATATGCTGTTTTATACACGGTAACATTACCTTTATCATAACGGAGACAGGGTACAATGTTATCTTCCTTGGAGTTAAAACAATAAATACAACGATAAATGTAATGTAATTACGAATATTCATCTCTATGTTCAAACAAAGTTTGCATCAATAGTTAGTTGTGTTAATATTGGGAACTACAATGTGATATAGGAATTTCTATCAGTGGCATATTAGTGCAGATAAGGAAAAGGAGATTTTATCAGTTATCTGTACTTTTAGGTACAAGTTTTGGTTAACGTTTAATTTCTCATGGTGCGGATATCAAATTATTAATACAACTCACTGTACTAGTTGATAGTCTGGTTGTATAGTTCATGGTTATATAAAACCATGGATAGACACAGATACCCCACGAGATATATTGAGTACGAGCAGTCGCTGTTCCTCCTTTTATCTATGATGAAACATAAATACCCTTTGCCACAGCAAACCTGCCGACTTAGAGAATTTCCATTTGTCTGATTGGATTTTCAATTATTAAATAACTTATGTGTATCGAGTATGCTTCCTAGGTTTGCTGCTACAAGGAAACTAATAAAGTGTGTTTTTTTTTCAAAATATTAATAGCTTAGTATAAAATAAATAAATTTGCCAAATTTTATCAAAATATTTGCATAAACAAGCAAACTACAACATTTTACAATATTCTCCATAAGAATAACATGGAAATTTTCAATTAGGCATAACAATTTTTTTTAATTTTCTCGGTTACCAATAACCGTACAAAAACACGCTGATATGCTAAATTATTTGTTTTTTAAGCTCTTTAAAAAGGTCTACAGATAAATTGGGAAATTTTATGTTTTGAGGGTAAACAATGAGAAAACCCAATTTTTATCCCATAAAAACCCCCGTAAAACCCCGTTCCCATGGTCCGATCATGCTGGTTTGCGAACTTTTTAAAGCCTTACACCTTCAAAACAAATTTCATCAAAATCGGACAAAAATTACTCAAGCCGTACACGGACATATTATATCTTACTAATATTATAAATGTGAAAGTTTGTGTGTTTGTTTGTTT